CCCCCCCCCCAATCTATGGTCGTTTATGGATTTCCATTTTCCTGCTATTCCTCCATGTTTCAGGTATGCCAGGTCATCCCTTGCCTAAAGAAAAAGGTCTGGCTTTCAGGATGATGTACTGCAATAGAGGCTGCAGCTGGCAGGCTGGACAACCAAGTTAAGCCTTATTTTATGCAGAGTTTAATCCATACAGTTGTTGGTGCATAAGATGAGGTATCCATATAAGTACACACAAAGAAGGGTGACCACGTTTTCAAATAGGAACAGCAAGTGTGATTTTTGCCCCTACAGGAGGCAGGGGTTTAATCTCTTTGAACTCCAATATCCCTCTGATGCTCTCTGCCCTAACTGCTTCTCCTAAGTCTGGAGCGAGGAGATACCAGCAAAAGCTGTTCAAAATAAAACTGAACGAAAATTGTTCCACAAAGTGATGCCTGAGGTTGCAGTTACCAGATACTGTGGTTGCCCAAAATATAAATGGGTTATGAAACGATTAGGAAGATTCATGGGAAGAAGGTGTCTGCAGCAGGGTTTTGGTTTCTGTGACTGTGGGATCCTATCTGAGGATCAACATCTGGTTGTGAGAGATGGGAGCCACCTCAAGAAGTGGGACACATGTAGGTAGGATCTCTGCTGGTAGGATCACTGATGTGGTGAGGAGGTCTTTGAGCTCCTGGAAGTCTTCATTGGCCACCACTGAGTGCAGGATGGATGGGAAAGGTTGTCTATAGAGTGAGCATTTGGTTTTGGTTTTGGACGTCCACTGCATGCAGACGAAGCAGAAGTTGTGCTGGCAGGGGTCCAGTTGCATCACATTGTCCAAGCAGACACGTACTGCTGGAAGATGCAGCTGTGGACATGGCAGCGTGCAGCAGGTCGGGAGCTGCTCCCCCTTGGAAGTGCCTCAGCTGCTGGTGCCCCACTCTGCAAAACAGAGGCACCAAGGTCTGGCCCTTCCTTGGGGCTGGAGGCCGGAGCACGGAGGAGCTGTGAAAGGACATTGACCTCCCAAGGTGTTTCTTTCGGGGTGAAAGGAAGCAGCATGGGCACTCTGGTATACCATCCCACAGCCACTGCTGTATAAGTGCTTTTCTTGCCTTTCCCTACCCTGACTGCTGCTTCCCCTCAAGAAAGGAGGTGTCCTGGGTCAGTCTCCTGCCAGCTCAGAGAGGAGAGAGGCCTTATGTTCATATTAGATGACTATATCAGTATCATTTCTCTATCCTAATCTACTTCTCTCTTGCACTACATTATTCTCTCTTCACCAGTGTGTCTCAACCCATGTACTGCTGTTCCTCCATTTTCAATACCAAGCCCTGGAAGATAGAAATATCCCAAACCAATTCAATCCTAATTTCAACATTGAAGTATTTTATGGTGTTGAGAGGAGTGAGTTATTTACATGGTAGCACATTGAGTCCTGGCAGCCTGGGGGCAGCTAGCAGGGATGGGGGGTGGCTCCGGGGCTCCACACTGAGCATAGCTGCTGGGACCCCAAATGTAAGAGAAGTGTGTTGTGACACCAGTCTGACTCTCCTCCCGCGCCTGGCAGTGCTGCTTGCTCACAGGAGCTCACCAGGGAATCAGTCCACGTGGGAACTGGGGTCGGGCAGTCCCTGTATAGGGGTGACCTGACAAAGGGGCACTAGCACCATCCCCTCCTTGTGGGGCTGCAGGATGAGACTGGCAGCCTTGGCACTTCCACCACCTTTCCTTTCCCTGCCATCTTTTCTCCTGGGTAGCACTAGTGACACACACTCAGTCCCCAGGGGCTGGGCTTGAACGCCATGGAATCATTTGCAAGAGAAGGGCAACCTAGAGGGAAACCATGGCCCGGCTTTCTTCTCTATGTGCAGCTCTTCCTGCTCTTTCATTCCCTTCCCACTCATTTCTGTTGGGTTTTGCTTCTGCCTGACATTTCCCCTGGCAACTGCTGCATTTTCCAAGCATCTCAGGGTTGGTTTGGCACGAGGGGTCCCAAACAACTCCCATCAAGAGCTATCACCCTGCATGACTTTTCCAGAGCAGTCTCTCTTTCTGGGGAAGCCAGACTTTTTTTATATGTGTTTTAATTATATGATCCTCACATTGCAATTTCAACATATCACCTTCTCCGACAGATATGCCATCATCTTGATTTACACAAGTACGCTTCTTCTTACACAGAGGAGGAAATGAGAAAGTAATGATCATATTTCAAAACCACCTACAGCGCAAGTGGCATAAAATCTTATCTGACAATTATATTTGAAGGTAGAAATTTAAATGAAATCACTTTACTATTTAGCAATGGACCAACATCAGATTACACAGCAAGCAATTTAGCGTGAGGGGGCATGCAGGCCACAATATTTAAGTTTCTGGGCCTCACTGAAGGCTGTTCAACACTACCATAGCACAATTGAAAGCTTGGTCCAAAAAAAAAAATCCCAGGAAAATATACATTTTTTAATGTAGCCCTTCTCCATTCTTGTCAGGGCCCTGGAGGCATGAATAACCCTTAATAGCCGTGCCCAGCCCCACACCGATGGGCCCAGGACCCCCATTTCAGCTCTGTGCGGGGTTGTCAGTCCCTGCCATGGCTGTGCTGGGGCCGGAGGGCCCCCCCAGGTCGTGGTCCCATCCCCGAGGGAGCCACCCCACTCGTGCTGTGCCCTGACAAATCTTCTTTTGCCTTTTTCTACTAGCACATGCTCCTGTCCAAATGTTTAACAAACGTGAAATTGCTATGAAATGGTATTGACACAGGTGTGATATGATGGGCCCCTGGAGAAGAGCACAAACTGCGGGTGGTGCAATGTGAGAAATCTCTATCAGTAGAGTTTGACCAGGGAAAAGCTTCAGTGTCAGCCCCCACCAGGCCCAACCCTGGCTGGGACAGCCAAAGCAAAGACTTTGCTTCTTCATTTTCCCTCGTTTGCACAGCAGCACAGCTCTCTCTCTGCTTCCTACGGCCCTTTTTCTCTCAGCTTTATTAGTGGGACTGAGAGAAGTCTAACAAACACGAACG